TCTTTGGGTTCCAAATTTTGCGTCGGGTTAGCTGGCACGCTGAGAGTCACAGAGAAAAACCAAAGCCCTTGTGTAGCCTGATAGCTCCCTATCGGCTATATAGTAGATCATGTTCAAGAAAGCAAATTAATTCATTAAAGTGACATATATTCAGTCAATTAGCTTCAGATCTCTGTTTCATATAGTGTCTCAGGAAGAGTGGCTGTTTTGTTATATCAGTAGAGCCATTTGAGAACTTCTGTTACTAATGTTCCAGGAGGTGTATTTAGGAGGTCTGCATTTATTTTTTTTAACAGAATAGATAATCCTTTAGCCCAGCTTCTGCTGACAGTTTCTCCAGCAAAAAAAATCTTAGTATTTTAAAGCACGTTTTACTACAGACCATATTTTAAAAAGACTGAACTTCACTTCTCTAAAATCGCTCCAAACTCTGAAGCTCTCTCTCCAGCAAATGGAACACAACAGAAAGAAATTAACCTAACAAGGCTGTCAGGAATCACTCAATCACTTTCTGACAAAACCCCACTGCTTCAAACACTGCTGAAATGATGTCGGTGGAGCTCTGAAGATTGCATTTAAAAACAATCAGTGCAGCACAAGCTCTTCCCCATCACGCGTTTTACCAAGGAAACAAGATGGTGTGAGCAGAATGTATGGAAGGAAAGAACGAAATCATGGGCTGAAGCTCAGAAAAACCCTTCTCTAATGTGTTTAAACTGGTTTTGAAAGACTTCTGGATAATAGTTCACCTAGGTCCAACACATCCTTGTGCCTGTGGATTTAATCTTCAAAGCAGGTCTTGACTGATACTATGCTGATACAGAACTTGCTCTTAGACAAATACAACTTTGGAAATAACACTCGAATACAAAGCTTGCATCATTACAAGTCGTGGTGAGGTTAACACTTCCTCTCATTGCTTTGAGGATGCTAAAGAACATTCAATCTCTTTGGATGAACCATTACTTTGCAGTAGTATGGATGGACAGCAGTCTTCCTTTCTTTGCTTGCCTCAACCATCTGTAAGGGCTTTTTTTTCATTCAGTATGCACGTGCCACCACGTATGTGAGACTTCAACCGAGCCAGATGACTTGCAAATAATTGTGCAAATGGGCATTTGTGCAAGTTTTCTACTTACAGCTGATTTGCCCAATCCTTCCTCCTGATAGCAAACACTTCAGCTACTCAGACAAATGGTTCCACGTGAACTAAATGGCCAACTGCACCACTTAAAAATAAGTGGCAAACAGGGAATACTGAATGCAGTAGACACAATGGATTCAAAGCCATTCATATTCTGAAGTGTTTAATAAAATACTCTTTGAATAAATTTAAATTACAAGTACATTACTTGATTTCGTATCTAGATGTCATGGGGCCTGCAGAGCTCCCAGTTTGAGCAGTCCTATTAACTTCAGCATGATTGTTCATGAAGATAAGCAGTTTCAGTGGATAAAGCAGTGCTTTAAAATCTTTTTTTTTTTCTTTTTTTTTTTTCTAAGCAAATACTTTAATAGCAGATCCTCCTGTGTGTAAGGCTGTGTGGGGCTTACATAGCAGAGCTGAGCATTTACCATGGGAATAGGGGCTGCTGGAAAATTATAGAGGTGAAATCCTTCAAGTCATCTTGGCCACAAAGGAATTATTCAGCCATGTGAAATGGGGCTGATTTGCTCCTATTATTATTATTCCCAGGCTGGGATGCAGACTTCAGGTAAGTCAAGACAGACACATGAGGACTTCATCAGAAGCTTCTCTCTCCAGTGAAGATTTGTCTTTATCTGTCAAAATTGAAGTTAACATACATTTGTCATGGTCCCAGGAAACCAAAAACCAGCTTTGCCAGAGAGCTCCTTGCTCATTTTACTGCAAAGCTTGATCGAATGGCACCTCATCCTGCTGTACCCCTATTTGTACCAAGAACTATTGTAAACAGTTTTCTACTTACATAATTACCTTAGCTGTAAGTCTTCCATCCATGCAGAAATACTGCTATTGCTTAAAGACCACTCAATGAGCCTCTTACTTCCACCTCTGATAAACTAAAAGAACAGATTTGGGATTGTACAAGTGAGAATTGGACTACTATATCATTGGTGGTGCTTCTTGAGTGACTAAGCTCCATAGTAGTACCCACTATGAGTACTAAAACATGAAGGACAGCTGCAGCTCCAAACAAGGACAGCAGGCTGGAGCCCTAAACTGTATCCCTTCAGTCACCATTATGATGATAATTTCTGGTAAAGTGTTCTCCCAAAGAAGAAAAGCAGAAAACTGTTGAGGAACACACACTGGTTTGCTTGGAAGGCTCTTCTTTGTCCGTTCTGCTCTGTTAATTCTGTTTGAAATCCTGCAGTTTGGGACCCCAAGCAGGTGACAGCTCACCTACAGAGTGCAGATTGCTTTATGGATGGAGTTCAGAAACATTTTGGTGGAAAATTTCAACTGACCTGAAATTTACTCTGTATAACGCTTTATTCACATCGATAGCGATAGAAGAGGCTGGTCAAGATGCTTCCTGATTGTGCACATTTATGTCTGAAATACAGCTATTTTTTGAGATGAGCGAAACGGCGCTTAAGACCATTACAATAAATTAAGTAGGCTTTTATAATTATTACCCCAAAACACAGAAAGATTGTCCTAAAAATAGCTTTGAGGACAGACCATTTAATCATATGTAAAAATCTATAACTGAAATGATTTTCTTGCTGTGTACCTCCTCGGAGCTGTAATTATTACATTGATTTTACTAAAAGACCCATCCACTCAGGATGAGTGACGTTCTGAAACAACCCGGGGGTGTTTTCTTCAATCTGCCTCCAGAAATGGTTAATTTATCTCATGAAACAAAGGAACCTTTCCATCTCGAAATCAAAGTCCCACAGCTCAGTCCAGAACATAAATATCTTCATGCATCTACGTATTGTTTCTTACAGAGAGAGATGGTACAGAAAGTGTGAGAAAGAATGCAAAGAATGCAATCCCTGCTTCTCATATTTGTGAGCAGATGATTTCTTTTCTTTTTTTTTTTTTTATAAGATTATTCATTCTGAACACATATTTGACAACTTTGTCATTTGATTAAGAGCGCTTGAATTCCGGAGAAGAAAAAAACCAAAACACTCAATTGCTGTTGGGTGGAGGGGTCACATGAAACACTTTTGTCACCTGAGGGTTTAAGGTCCACAGCTGCTCAGTGTGATCTTTCCACAAATTCTCTTGCAAACAGAACGTGCTCAGCAGGTAAAGGCATTGCCTGCATTGCCTGGCGCAGGCAGGGAGCGCGGGGCTCAGAGCATCGCATTGCGTGCAGCATTGCCCCTGCCTCACGACCTCACCAACTTCTTATTTTACAGAGTTCTGACTTAACCCCAGTGGAAATCCAGGCAAAAATCCCACTGCCTTCAGCCAAAGCTGCACTTTGTTCCAATGAATGAGATTCCTGGAGGACCACGCTGAAACCGTGACTTTAGTAAACTCAGGTATCTCCTGCAAGACAGGCCCAGCCCAGCAAAGCATGATTCCAACCTGCTTATTTGCCTTGACAGAGCCTGGGGCACACCAACAACTCAGCAAAGACCACCAGTTTTGGGGCAGGTGGAGGGTGCTTAGCATTGCCCAGGCGAACACAGATGTGCTCAGAGGCAAACCCACATCTCCCAGGTGTCAGAAAAGCCCATGCTAAGAGTTACATTTCTTTACGAGTTGCAAAGCCAAGCTTTACTGTCACCAGCAAAACTTCACATTTCTGTAACTCTTTCTCCTTTCTATGGTCTAAAAATATTTATGCATCCTACAGCCATTTTACATTATCCTGAGGTAGTAAATGTGATAGTTGAAGTGAAAAATGTTTGTTACGCCATAGCCGTGGATGGTTAGAACAAGGAGATTACAAGAGACGTGGCAATGAGAAGCTCCTGCAGTTCCACAGCTTTTTTCTAAGGAAAAACCTCAGAATACAGCTGGGCTGGCTGGGCTGAGCCATCTGCCACTTAGAATAAAGCAGGATCCCAGGTCTGTAAAGTTCACATGTGCTAAGTTGCACTGATTGAATAAGGCGCACCGAGATCGATATGCCAAGTGCATTATGGTGGCAAGAAAGACCCAGGCATCCTCCACCCCCATGAGCCCCAAAGCAGCCCTGTGAATGCCTGCAGCATGTGCTGCCTTCATCCAGCACAGCTGGGCTGGGGCTGGTGGTGGTCTGCTGCCCACACCCAGTGCTGTGGATGCTCCTATGTCCCACAGTCACAGCTCTGCGTGCTCACTCGGCAGATGTTGGCTCACATCTGGGCTTTGCTATCAGCTATGCCGATTCTTCCACACACCCGTGTGCTTCTTTGTCCCAGCAGTTACCCGCAGTATCTTCTCTACAACTCCCTTTTCAGGGATGGAGCCACGTGTTTGGGCTCTGTGAGGATCGGGGTGTGCCTCTGCCCACTGCAGCCATACGCCACAAATCCTTCTATTTGTTAACGTTGTTCTTTGCCTGACCCTTAGTCTGGACTAAGTCATCCCAAACCCATGCTGAAGCACTAAAACAGCAGCAACATCCTATAGTGGGTTCCCAGTGCCTCTGAAGGTATGCAGGAGGAACTTGGGTTCCCACTGTCCTACCAAAGAGCTGCAACCGAACCTTCAGACCCCCGAGGCCAGCACCTGGCCAGTCCCCAGCCTTGCAGCCTGTAGAGCTCAGAAGCCCCCAAAGCCCCCAAACTACGTGCAGCCCTCCTAGACCCCTGCAACCCACGGGTACGGGATGCAAAGGGGGGGGCTGCCCCAAAGGCACAGCTCCCCCGGGCCGAGCTCCGCATCCCGCCGCCCGTTCCCATGGCAATCTCGGAGATGCCGGTTGCCACGGTAACGCCATCCTCCTCCTCGGCCGTGTCCGAGACAGCGGCGCGGCTCCGGCGGAGCTCTGCCCGTGGGCTCCGGGCACAGCCGCTGCCCCCGGGAAGTTGCTTCCCCCACCGGTCACGGCGCGGCCCCCCGTTACCTTCGAGGCAGCAGATCCTCCAGAGCCCCGAATGCGTAAGGTCGCCCCTCGCTTTCCTCGGCGGTCCCTGCGCTTCGTCCGCCGTGATGTTGGTGCCGTTGCAGATGTGCGCGCTGGAGTACAGCCAGTAGTCGGTACCGATGGCGATGGCCATGAGGCTGAAAGCGGCGAAAGCTCCCACCGTGGTCAGCAGCATCTGGACGCCACGGTCACACCACACCATGGTGCTTCATAGTCCCCGCACGGGGCCGCACGACACCGCCCGGCAGCCGCCGCCGCCCGCGGGAGGCAGAGCCGAGTCACGGGGCGGGGGGCGGAGGCGGCGGCGATGGGGATGGGGATGGGGGGAGCCGCCCTCCCTCCGCCACGGGGCTGAGCTCCGCCGCACGGCCGCGCACCGCCCCGCCCCGGGGAGGGTAGGAGCCGCCCGCCCGGTGGCGGCGGGGGGTGGGAGGCTGCAGCCCCTCCCAGGGCCGGAGCATCGCGCGGGGATGGTGCGGGGGGAGTGCGACAACACGGCTGAAGTCGCGGCTCCGCGGGGGTCAGAGCAGTCTTTGGGGAGGGGGGTGGGTTCCGAGGCTCAGCGAACGGCAGAGCCCGAGGAGCGCGGCTCCGAGCCCCCAGCCCCGGCACTCCCCCTGCCCACCGCCCCTTCCTTCCACGGAAAGCACCGCACCGGGATGCGAGCGGGAGAGGGGTACGCAGCCCTCGGGGTACCATGCGGTCGGGAGCTGCAGCGTAGCCAAATAGGTTTCCTCCCGCAGCCTCGCTGTGCTCTTAGTGACACAAGGGGGGTGTAGGCAAGTGGATGGCTTGCTGATTGTTTCCTGCTCGGAAAAAAAAAAAAAAATATATATATATATATATATTTATAAAACAAAACTAGAGCCTGAAAATATTTCCTTTTGGAAAACCATGTGGAGAAACATCTAAATTTGTCACCGCGTTGTCCCTCCTTGCAGCCCTGACTCCCATCACTGCGCTGACAAGTCGGTTCTGCCCCCACCCATCCAGCGACAAGGCAGATGAATGGGAGCCTTCTGATCAGCTAATGCATGTGTGTGAAGGGAGCGTGGCAGCACACAGAGTGATGTATGTGAATCAGGGAGTGGGAGGACGAGAGCTACAAACCTCGAGAAATGCAGCTCTCTTCTGAGCAGTGCGTGGATGGTGCAGGTGCATGCATGGCTTTGCTGCGGCGATGCCTTTCAGCTGCTCTTCCTTTTCATAAAAGCTGGGAAAGCAGAAAGCAAACACAAATTAAAGGCTGGTTTTTATTTCGCAGAGCCTTGGAATCTTGATCAGACACAAAGCCTATAAATGCGGAAGAGCTCCGAAGTTATGTTAGGTTTAAGCACATAAATTAGGCTTTACTTTCCCATTGTGCTTATAGGTCCAATAGTGCCATTGCAAAATCACCCTCTGAACTGATGTGTCCATTAGGGATGGAAGAATGAAGGCAGGTAAGCTGAAAAGCAGCGTTCAGAAAAACTGAATCAAGCATTTAAATTTAATGAGGTTCAACAAATTTCTCATTTAAAATATATGTTTGTACCTATGTGCTTTGGGGCTTTGGCCAGGAAGGGAAAATTAGATACTGAAACAGCAGGAGAGAAGCCATTTCCACAGCTTTTTAAACCTACTGAGCCTTAATTAATATTATTTATTTGTATTGCCCACGGCTGGCTCTCCCAACGAGGAGCAGAGGAGGGCTGGGTGAGCTGTAGCCATGGCCACAGTGCTGTTTGAGGCAGAAATAGCCCTGATATCCCACTCAGAAGTGCAACAGGAGCAGGATGGGGCATCTGGTCCAGTGGGCTCTGAGCATCCTCAGCCAGCAGATAGGGGTATGCAGCTGCAGGGCTTTCCACCGCATAAAGCCCTATTGGTTGTGTGAGATAACAGCACATCAACAGAACTCCTTAACAAAACCTTGCTCCTCTCCCCTCCAGCATTGCTTTGCAAAGAAAACTGCTGCTCCTATTGCCTTGTGAGAAACCTCGGGCTCCTAAAGGGTTACAGAGAAGCACCCAAGACAGGCAATCATTTTCTGCCCAAGCTATCTTCTTTAGTTTAAAAATGTTCTCTATTCTTTTGAAATGCATGAAGTAGATTGTGGGAGAGCTAATATTATATTCCACTACTGAAAGCTGGTGGAGTATTTTGCATTGATGTCTGGCTCTAGTGATTTTCTAAGGATTTTGAATTCATTAAATCCCACCATTGAATAATCACCAATCGTGGCAGAAGGAAGGCAAAAGTGCTTATGGTCCTCAGCAGCAAAAAAGCATGTGTTCTTTTCTTAAATGTGAAAGCTATTTGACCCTCTGTATGTAGTAAAGGTTGCCCATCACAAAACCTTTGATTCGCAGCCTTTGCTTATGGTACAGCCCTATAGTGATGCCATTGAGTTTCGCAGGAGAACAGCCTCGGCAGGGTGTGTGCACTGCAATGGCATCCTCCATCCTCAATGAGAATTGAACCCAATTGTTCTAGGCTCAGAACAGATGCAGGAGCTCATGACAAGGAGAAGTAAAAGCCCCACGTCTTCTCCCTGTAATTTAGCTCCCCTCACCCCTACTGATTTTACAGTGTGTCCAAGCCCAGAAATGTATTTTTTTCACAGGAAAAAAATTAAACTGAAAGCAGAAATATTTGGATTCCTTGATGCTGATGTTCAAAGCTTTAAATGAAGTCCTGTGCCTGATCATTTTACTTCTGAACTGAAAAACAGTTATTTTGGAGATGAAACTTTGTACTGAACTGAATTCAGTGAGAGCTGTCACTAACAAAGCCTTGCCTGAGAGACACTGCTGCGATCAGAAGGAGAGAAAGAACCGCGCTGTGTTACCATTTGGGATGACTGCTTCTGCTGCTAAATGTCAGGCATTGCCTTCAATACACTAGGCTCTCTCTTTTTTAAATTTATCATCTAGCAAAGGTAACACCAGAATTACTAGAATTTCACTAAAAGAAACCTTTGGAAATGGTTCAAGAAAATCTCCAGGGAGAACTTTCTCAGAATGAAAATGATTAAACAGAGTTTTTGATGTAAATACAGACTAACGGCCACCAAACCCTGGAACACATATCTCGTTCCACTTGTCCTTCAAGGGGACTTTTAGGCCTATGCATGTAAGAATGACTTTTAGCATCTAGCAATATTCTACAGCTATGAGCACATCAGTGACATTGGTTGTTGCCATCTCCTACAGGTCTTTGTATCTCTTCTGTCTAACCTCATACTGGTATTATGAATAAATCATCCTGAAGCATTTCATTTGGATTACGCTGCACACAAAGAACTGAAGAAATGGGATTTGCTTCAGCAGAGCTTTATGGACACGAAGATCTCCACTCCAGCAAAGAACCTTGCAGGAACATGGGATGTGGCAGGAGGTATCAGTTATGGCACAGGTATGTTTAAAAAAGAAATATTTTTGTATGCTGATGGAGCTATATTTTTGTATGCTTTGGTTCAGATGTTTCAGGTTAACATGATCTCCACTGAATCACACTGGGAGACTACTTTCAGAGCTACTTCCAAATAACACTGAAATCATTGAGAAGGTTTGTGGCAAAGCAAGTGCTGAATTCACTTCTGAGGCACTGTATGTATATAAGCCATTGGCCTGCCTATTCCTTGTGTTGCTCTTAACTGCATGTCTCAAGCAGGTGGTGTCTTTCATCTTGGAGGACCATACTCTGCTTCCACAGCATGGAAAGATTGACAGAAGTCACCATCACATTTCATGGAGCTGAGTCTAGAGAAAGGTGAACTTGAATTTTGAGAAGGCTGAATTTCTTCTTTAGCCCTATGAAGGATCATCTTAAGTCAGCATCAGTAGTTCCAGCCTCCTCCAGAGCTGCAGAAATGGTCATCTTAAGGGTAAAATATTGTCACTCGCTTGCCACTTGAGAGGCAACATCTTGGCTGTGCTTCTATCATTCCTTTTAATATATTAAACATTCCTTGGCTTAGTCATGGGAAGTGAAGCAACACAATTGCTTTCTAATAAATAAAATGTGCTCAGAAACCACTCTGTAGCTTTTCAGATAACTGCAATTCGAGTTTGCCAGGAAGCCAGATGCTGCTATTGGAAAAGTAGCTGCCATGGTTTGTCATCCGAGCTTAGGAATTGATATCCAAGAATGATATGGTGAGACAGACTCGATGACAGCACTGCTCTTTCTATAAATAATTTGAAGAAAACATTTTTTCATTTTGAAAAATGAAAAGACTCTTTTTCTACAGACTTGTACAGCAAACCAGAAAATTAAAAAGGATGGGCATGCTGTGTTTGAATGGGGCCATCAAAAGAACAAAATATGTGCAATTTATGCAAAATGTATAGCAGCTCTCACACATTTTACGCTACCTAAGCTATATTTTTCCCATAATACCAATAGTCACGAAACTCATTATCTTTCTGACAATAGAGAAATGGAATACCGGCCTTTTACTTTCTTGACCATGTCAAATGTCAGGGCAATTTTTGAATGCTCGTCCTTCAAATGCTCATCCCTCCTGCTAAGATAAAATATCAATCGCGCTCACATTCAGCTACAGAGTGAACTAATATTGCACACACCTCTCAGATCTAAAGTCACTGTGTCCATTACCTGTGATGTGATTTTGTCTCCCAAGTCCTACCTCTTGTCCACATCTTAATGGCTGAAAAATACACTGCAGTGATAGAAGCTGTGTTTAGGTTTATCTGGAGCACAAGCTGAAACGACTGGTGGGGGTTTCTCATAAAGTGTTAAGAGTTACAAAGGGAGTGGGAGAAAGAACAAGGGGTTAATGGGGCAAGAGCCTTCAGTTTGCCATCCATTTTGGAGGACTTGGAGACAGCATGCCAATGGGATGCTGCTGGGAATTTCTAGCACAACAGTTCTGCTTGAAGCACAAGGGAAGATCTCACTATCTTTTTGATGATGGAGAAACAAATGTGCTTATCCAGGCAAGGCGCTGCACTCATCCTCAGGGTGGTGTCCATTGGGAATACAAGTGCGGGGTCATTTCTCCTTGGAAATACATGAGGAGCACGGGCCAACGTGGAAGGAAAAAACAAATAATTGTGGTGAGGTTCTCTCAGCCCATCCATAATCATTTCCAAGGAATAACGATGTACCTGTGCATACCCCAACAACAGGCTATTTGTACCGTACAAAACCACGCAAGCTGTTACTCCACACAAGCTTACACGACTTCAGACAGCC